GCGGCAACTGCGGCGACATCTGTCGAGTGCGATTTCAAAGTTCTTACGACTGTGAGAGTATTAAAACGAAATGCGAGTATGTCAGACGTAAGATGGTGCATGCGTGTGTGCGTGTATGTACTTATGGGGTGGAGAAAGGTGATAGCACTCGCAGCGGCGGCAGAAAGCCAGATATATACATATATATATATATATATATATATATATGCGCCAGTAGGCGGACTCGAGTTCATTCACCTTACGGACTAGCGGGCAACCGGATAGCGGGACCCTCGCCTCTCTCTCTCTCTCTCTCTCTCTCTCTCTCTCTCTCTCTCTCTCGTTGAAGAGTGAAAGAGAGTACGTGAGTATTTTTTTCCGTCTTTCTCTCTCTCTCTCTCTCTCTCTCTCTGACTCTTTGAGTTTCGGGACGCCACGTCCCGGCGGTCCCTCCAACCGATACATTTTATCGGGCTACTGCAGAGCGTGAAAGAGAGGGATAGAGCGAAGATGCGCTCTCTAATTGATCGGGGTCGTTCACATTGTCGGTCAGCGGAACACATTCACAGCGGCGGAGTCAAAGTTCGTCACGCCGTATGAAAATATCCTTCTCTCAGCCGACAGTACGCGCGCGCACATACGACGAGCTCCGTGCTCTGAACGCGCTCTCCGTGCACGCGACTTCGCTGATTGCTCGTTTTCCTCGGATTCGATGAGCGCGCGTCAGGCGAGCGCTGCCGACGGCGTCTTTCGACGGATCGACGCCTGGCTCACCCTTGCGCGCTTCGAACGTAGAGCGTCGGCGGATCGATACATCGCCAACCCACATTCGCGAACGAGCCGCCCTTATGGATTTCATTGAGGCGTTGGTTGTCGATCGGCAGCGCAAAGCAATCGATTGTATGTGTGCGCGCGAGAGCGAGGCGCGCTTGTTTATTCAGTACGCGATCGGCATGCGATCGGTTAACGGTCGCCCCGCGGCATTGTTGGCACTCGAGAGAGAGTGCGTCAGTCGGTTATATACTGCCTTTGTTTTTTTTTTTTTTTTTCCTTTTATTTCTGTCAATTGAACCACGGGTATTTCTGGATCTGGTTTCGTGAGAAGGAGACGTACTTGTGGCTCGAAACTCGCAAATTGCAGGGTTGGCGCTTCAATTGCTTACTCTCGAGTAATTTGAAGGAACTTCATTACCCATTACGTCGTTTCCCTTAAGATCCGACACTCGGAAAATCATTGTTATTTCTTTCTCAGCGTCGCGAGCGAGTTACAACAAAATTACACATTCAACCAGACAACGAATCTGCATAGGAGCTCGCGCTCGGGCGTTTGAAAAAGGCGGATTGAAAATCACGGCCACGCGCCCAAATCGAGAGATTCGTTTAACAACAGGAAGAGGCAGATCCCAAATGGAACCTGACTAGAATTGAAAAACAACGTCGACACATCCGTGGCATCAACAATTGGCTTCGACATGCAGCCAATCTCGTTGATATCGCCGCCTCTTTGGCGACGAGAACATAATCTCGTGTGTTTCATCGCGCCTCTACACCGCAGATATCGCAACCAACAATGGCAGTGGCGTGAGTCAAGACGAAGCCTGCAAAATATGGGAAAAGCACGCGATCTGTGCGATCGATATTATTATCACGGGCACGAAATCGGAAAAATCATATTGACAATTGCATGGAAAAAATAAAACTCGGCATACGTGTCAATTGACGAGAAAGAGAAAGAGAGGAAGGGAACCGGTTAGCCCGCTCCTTTGATTTTCCTGGCATCGACCATTACGCAGTCGAGGAGGTATAGATAGAGAGAGAGAGAGAGAGAGAGAGAGAGAGAGAGAGAGAGAGAGAGAGAGAGAGAGAGAGAGAGAGAGAGAAGGACGGAAAAGACTTGAAAAAAGAGAAAGGGATGAGCTTCTTACACGTATCTATCGCTTTTTAAAAGTTTCCTCTGTTCATCGAGTACTGGACATCATCGACACTGATAGAGACAGAGAGAAAGAGAGACGCGTTCTGAATGATTGTGGACACGCAGGTCGTTTACACGCGTCGTTGAATCACATAACCACTCGATGACTTCTTCGATATTCCTAATCGCTATACTGAATCGTTTTTATCTTTTGTAGAACATGTCGCGGCTCATCGACGTTCGTTGCTGGCAAATGCCGTGATGATCGGAGATTAATTTGCATAAACAACTGACCCTGGTAAGTCTTCAGTTCAAGCGCTACATTTCTCCTCTCCCTGCACGTGTATAACGATCACCGCGGGTATTGGCAACGATCAAATCTTTACAGCTGCGTCGTCCCCCTCTCGCCTTGAAGGCAATTAAGGAGGAATATTCAATTTAAGGCGCGTAACCTCGTTTGCGGCTCACTTCTTCACGTATGTGAAATTCGGTTATGACAGCCCACTCATCCGGCTAATTTTTTTTTTTCAGTTGGCAATAAAAAGAGGACAATCACGGATCAATATAATGGTATATTTTTGGATCGCACCTAATGCTCGTTCGATTGTGTCTAGCAATCGACTGGACGGATCATTCGGCATCATTACTACGACAATTTGTGCGCGTGCGCTGATTTGTATTTTTCTAGATGCGACGACGACGACGACAACTACTGCCGCAATACTCAAACTCGTGAAAATTGGAGGTAGTATTTGGCGAGAGAACGGCTTGTTTCGACTCGTACCTGGTAAACCATATTTTCGGGTGGCCCAAGTGTACTGCAAGAGAACCGGACGCGACGCCGCGAAAAACAATCCTCGGGCTCCTCGGCTTTTCCCCTCCGTAAAATGTCGCGCGACGCGTCCACGACTGCGAAACCTGTTATCGAGAAGGAGGCGAAAAGGAGAATCACGAAGGAAGCGCGCACGCGAAGCGCCCTCGCGTCAATTTGCCCGAGACGCGAGCTTCGAGAGGAAAAGGCAGGCGCGCGCGGCTTTTATAAAAGGAACAAGAGGAGAAAAGGAAAGTGGCTGCGATAACGAGAGCCAAGTTCAACGCGGGGATGAGCGCCAGGAATGGGCGCGAGCAATGTGTGTACGAACGCGCGAGAGAGTTGGGCGCGCGGGAACAAACCGGTTTCCCCCGCGGCGGCCCGATATGATACGCCGCTGCGCGTAACAGGCCGGGGGGGGGGGGGGGGGTGAGGAGGAAAGATAAAAAGGAAAGAAGCGAGCGCCTCCCGCTACCTTCTGTTCGCGCGGACATCTCTGCACCTTTGGCTCGGCCAGCTTTTCGGCGCCGCGCCCACACTTTCGGATCGTCGCGCGCGGTTTTCCTTTTCGCCGATTTGCCCCCTAGCCGACACTGAAAGACAGTTAGTCGCCGTTGGTAGCGCGATAACGATCGTCGGCTCGAAATCCTCGGGCGTGCCTCGAGAACGCTCGTGTCTCCCCGTCGCTGGCGTCAGTCCGCGGAAGCGGCAACGAGTCGTGCTTGGAAAGAATCCGAGCTCCCCGCTGTAACGGTGTCCGAAGGCGAGCGTCGGTTTTCGGAGCGGCGCCGAGTATTGGGCTTCGACGATCGGCGGAGGTTACAGCATCGTCGGAGATGCCAAGAGAGGCGCGCGACAAAAAGAAGCGAGCGCGGCGACTCCTAACTGTAACTCAGCCGACTTTTTTCCTTTTTCTTCCTGTTCTCTGTTATTTCGCAGCCGCGAGAGGAGGGAACGCGGACGGGTGGCCGGCGAAAAGGCGCTCGCCTCGGCGAAGATCACTTTGGGAATCGGAATGCGCCGAACGGCAGCGCGTGACCGATTGCGCAACGATTCCGGCCGAGGAAGCGACTCGGCAATTTTTCGCCTGCAGTCGAAAACGAGCGTTGCGCAAAGGCCACGGCCGGCACGGCCCGGAAGAGGCGCTCGCCTCCTGTCATTTGACGGGCGCGCGCGCACCGCAAATCACCGATATTTCCAGCCCGACTGACCTCCCCGACGACGACTCGGGCCGCGCGATCGAGCTCTCCCTCGAACGCGCGTCTACTCTCGTTTGGATTCCTCCGCGAGCCGAAAAGCCGCGGTGGCTTATGAAACGCTCGGCCGCTTAGCCAACTGTTTTTTTTTTTCTTTCTTCTTCGTCTTTTCCATCTCGGAAGCAGCGTCGGCCCGAATTTTCGCCCGCGCGGCGATTTATTTTCTGCGCGCTTTACTTTTTTTACTGCCGATGTGTTTATACAAACGGTCCTTACACTCTTTGACATACTTTCTTTGTGATGACGTGTTGTCCTTTTTCTCTCTCTCTCCCGCAGCTTCGAACGCATCGTTACGATAACTTTTTTGTTTGGAGGACTCGCATGATCCCATCGGCAATGATTTTCGAGCGCCACGACGAAACCGTAGAATTTTACTCGGTATGACATAACGTTAGAGAACTCTCGGAATACTAATTTCAGTGCCATTAGAAGGCACTCAGGCTGACAAATTTTTAAAGAGCTTCGGGTACCCATTGCGCGATAGAAAATTCCTGTATTCAAACCCAATTTCACTCTGACGATTTTCGTGTTTTTTTTTCTAGCGAGACAAAGGGGGGCCCGCAACGGCGCAAGCGCGCGACGGACTAATGAGTTTTTGCCGTGGAAAGAAAGTCGGTGAAAATCCGCTGGATTATCGCGTCGCCTCGCCGAGAAAATACACGGAGACGAGTCACGATACCATTTCCCGTCGTCCTCCCGTTCCCGTAGTAGCTGCGTCGTCGTTTTTTATTCATCTCTATTTTTATTTCTCTCCGTCCGAGCACATTTGTTTTTCCCGGTGGCGCGTGAAATCGGCATACTTTTGCGCGGCGCGGGCAATTTCGTGGCACTTTCTAGAAGTGGCGCGCCGGAGCAAAGAAATCCAGCGGCGGGCTTTTTGAGCTCGCCGAGAGATCTAGCCCGCGTAGCGTTCGCCCGCGCAGTAGGTAGAAAGCACGCAAAAAGGGAGAGACCGTGTGGCACCTGTTGAGGGGGAGCGCGCGACTCTAGTCGCATACCTGTGAATAAAAAGTATAGGTATAGGAGCTGGCCGAAGACATACCGAGTCCCTTATTGGCGGCACCGGCGAGTCCAAGGTAGCAGCAGCAGCAGCCGAGCACGAGTGCCAGCAGGACGAGGCTACGGTGGCGCTCGGCCATGGCGCCTCCGCTGCTGCACTAACCCCCGGGGCCTCACTTCGTCGTATTTAATCTCCGCGGCTCCCTTTCCGTCACAACTCCCTCGCACTTTCGCCAGTCGCTGTCCGGCGCACCGAAATCTTCGCCTCCCTCGGGAACTCGACGGGCTGGGGCGTAGCGAATCGAGGGGAGGGGGGGTGAGATTGGCACGTCAGTCCATCGCGTGCCTCGCGCGTGTGCGTGTGGGTGCGTCGACGAACGCTCGAGCTGTGGCTGCCGAAGCCCGCGCGCGAGTCTGCCGCGTGTGTGGACCCGGTCGCGGTCAGCGGGCGACTGGTCCCAGCGAGGCAACATGGCCGCCGCCGCCACCGCCGACCGGCGACAGGTACCTTCTCTCTCTCTCTCTCTCTCTCTCTCTCTCTCTCTCTCGCCGTACCAGCCGTGCATAATACAAACTCGCACCGCCAGCCTCTCTCATCCAGTTATGTCTATAGACAGAGCCCTCTCTCCTCTCTCTTCTCTCTCTTCTCTCTCTCTCTCTCTCTCTCTCTCTCTCTCTCTCTCTAGAGCCGAGCAGGGACCGACGACTTGTCGGCCGCCGCCGCAGCCATGCAACGTGGAGGTTTCGTTGAGAGGCCAGCGATCTTTCCTTGCGCCGTCTTCCTCTCTCGTCCTCCTGGATTTCCCGCTGCTCCTTCTTTTTCGCGCTCGGAGCGCGTGTCTGGCTTGCTCTCGCCTCCAATTTCTCGTCGCTGGCGGCGCTTCTCGCGCCGATCGCGCGACCAGGGCTTCCTAGACGGGCGCAAAGGGTCCTTGGCGAGCTGGGACTGCTGGGTTTACGCCAGGCTTGATGTTTTCAGCTAAGAGCGTTTCGCTTCGGGCAGGTCTCTCGTCTCCGTTCTGGGATTTGCTGGATTTCTCGCCGGATCGGAGCTGCTGGAGGGAGGCCTCGTGTTTTTACCGATATTGGGGGACAAACGGATGGCTACGTTTCCGAGCGATCGTCATCTGGCGGTTGAATTATGCACACTACACTTTTTACCGATAGGATGGTTTGGAACACAAAACTCCTTCAACTTGATCACCCAAGGCTATTGATTAACTCGCGACTATAATAGAAATTGAACAAACACACGCAACAAAAATAAGGTGACTGTGTCATTCGTTTGCTCCGCGTAGCTTTGTTGCCTAAATTTCAATAATTATGAATTACACTAAAGTTGTCTTTCCTCTTATAAAACTCGAACCCACGGTGCGCATAATTCGTTGGACTTTCATTCAACGAACGACGCGTGCGATTCGCAAAATATCATCATCATGGCAACACATCTATGCGAGCGCTTTGTAAATTACCTCGTACAAAATGGAGTTGTTTGGCTTGGAGATCGCGATTGAAATGAAAATTACATGACATCCCGACTCTCGTTGATTACCCATCTGTATTTACGGAACAAAAGACTGTCGAAAAGTGGAGGCAGTTGTGATAATCGTGACAAAACAATTGGCGTCAGACCAGGCAAAGGAAAAAGAAAAAAAAAAAAAAAGAAAAAAACGATGCCAGCAGGTTCTGCGAAGCGATTTCTCGATACGTGTCAGTGACATTGTCGAATCGAAGCGAAAGAACGAGGGAGAATAGAATAGAGAAACAGTCGTCCGCGCGTATATAGGATGGCATTGCGTAGGCGCATTTTTAACGCTAGCACACTTGAGCGCCGAGTCATATACGTACGCGCCCGTACCAGCCGCACTCTCGTCTCTCTTGTTCTCTCCTACTTCCTACCTCCTCCTCCTGCCGCCGCCGCCGCCGCGCGGCAAGCCGCAACCAAGCAGCCACTCGACTTTACTCTTGTGCGCTCTTCCCGGTGTAGTTTTCCATCTCGCCTGCTGTATCTGTTTATTTTCATTCGTCCTTATTCCACGATGCCTTGCGATAAAATTATCTAGCCGCTGGCTATGCCTTACGCCTGCGAGAGCTCGAGAGCTTATTGAGCTCTGACGTCGCGGGACTATTTTACACTCTCGGCTTCGTTCAGGTTCCGACTGAGTCTCCGTAAGATTAAGCTCGATAAATTTTATTCGACTTTGCAGTCCGCTAATGTACGTCCTGCGGGCGGTTATACAGCCTTTGTTGATCATTGAATTTTTCTCTCGCCATACCTAATTGTACGGATGTCCTTTTAACGATTTTTTTTCTACAAAAAAATTTACGACTGCTTGTTAGTACTATCTTTGTTGACTCAATCTCAATTACGAACGATTCCGAATTTATCAGATCGTCACGCGAAACTTATGCAATAAATGTCATTCATTGTTAATTCACGGTAAGTTATGCACATAATCCACGTTTGCCTGTACTTTGCAATCATACACCACCGTTGAATAATTGTCAAATTGTAATATTTCTAAGACTAGTTTCAATTTATTCTGAAATTATTATATTATTCTTTGCATATCAAACAAATTGTCGTTGTTTCATGCAAAACGATCAATTCATTTATTTATTTTTATTCTAAAATTAATTTTACGCGTAAAACCTGTATTTTTCTGAATACGTCCAGTTTTTCAATAACAAATTTTATTATAACTCTGCAATTTACATAGCTGTTATACCGAGTAAGAGCATTTTAAAGAAGTATCTACGATAATTGATTCAGTGGAAAACACTTTTAAATGAAAGAAATACCTGTTGTTTTTTTATCGGCATTTCGCGATTGCATTTTAATTTCAAAGGTAATCGTATGTGTTCCAGTGGATGACTATTAACAATTAGATATAAATAGAGATGTGTTTTAAGTTCAATGAAAATGCAATAAATGGAGTCGACAAATGGCGAAGACGAGTACGAAATCTCAAACTCTCACGAAACGTAAAATAAAAAACGGTGGTTCCGATAATACGAAAGCGCGTATATATGTATGTATATCGAAGGGACTGAGAAAGTTGAAGGGATTTTCCCACGTGGACACGTTTGTACATTCCAGAAGGGTTCTCCGACTGTCGATTCTGTCACATATAGGCTGCATTCACACGTGCACGCGCGTACGCACATACTAACACATTCGTCGAAAGTATCACGGGATTTCCCCTACTATATAGCCGTCCGCGAGGTGTGTCCGTTCGTGCGGCGATTGGAGACCCGATATCTATCTAAAACGTTTTAATGAGTACTGGTTTTCGACGATCGCTCGTGCGTGTCTGCCTGTAAGTATTAGCGATACAGGTATACTACTTTTTCCTCGACGAGGGTCGCTTTTTGTTCGCAACAACTGTGTGCTTTCTTGCCCATGGAAAATTCACGAGATCGTTGTTTACCCCGATCAGGTGAGTAGCGATAAAAATACAATGGAAAGCACCAATAAGTCTTATATGAACGGAATCCGTCACAATGCCGAGTAGACTGTGTGCTATTTGTGTAAACAAATAACTCAGTGGTCGAAGGAAACGAAGAAAAGCTGTATAATAAACCTTGGTCACAAGTAGAGGAAAGCCATGTAGAGACGCATAAGGAAAATGCAACTTGACGCGTAAAAGTATGGACCTATTGATTATCGCGCAAAGGTCAAAGAAAGATTTAAACGAAAATACGACTTGGAGCTCTTGCGCTGGCAAATAGCAACTGCCGTACGCAAGGCGAAGCACGTTTTGCCTTCGCAGCGGAAGAGGTTGAAATAGCCATTCTAGACGGACAACTACTTGTCTGCCAGCGCCAGCACCCAGCCTGCACTCACGCGCGACGAGGAAGATGCCCCCTGGAGCAAGCGCAACGATGATTGTCCGGACGCGGGGTGGATCGAGATTGGCCGATCTGTCGCCGTTTGCACGGTAATTCCGCGGAGACGGAGACGCCTCCTCGGTCGTCATCAGCCGATAGTGCCGCTAGCCGTTGTCGAACCGTCGCTGGCCACGCAAAAGACTGCGCATCCATAGAGCAATGCGCCACGCGTTGGGCGCCAAAGTTCGGCTACAATGCACGCACCCACGAAAGAATTGCCAAAACTGTCGAAATGACCTAGTACTGGTGAGACACTTTCAATCAAGCGATTATTGGCCAGATCTTAGTCAATCCTTAACCATTGCCGAAACGATGAGATTGAGCTAAATACTTACAAGTGATATTGTTCCATTGCCGTATTAAACAATTGCAACGTTGAGCCTATTAGCGATCACGTACCATTTGTCGTGAAATTTGTTTTTCAACGAAACAAACAATTTTATAACCAATTTACATACGCAAATGTGGTGACGGGTGATAAACATTTGCACACATTACACAATGGTGTGCAAAGGCTATTCATTCTGAAAATTGAAGTCTAAACATTACAAAGAAAATGTTGATGCAACCAATGCAATCTCACATAAAAGTAAAAAAATTTAACATATTTCGGTGTACATCCTTAATAGTTCATTAAAATAAAATGTTAGATATGTAATTTTATAAATGTCTTAGTGGGCAAAAAAATGACGACTCAATATAAATATGTTCACTCCGTAGAACTAATATGGCTTTCTTTTCAAATAATGAATGGAGAAAATGAGATTATTGATTTAATTTGAAATAAATACGAATACAATATTTTCTTCTAATATAAAATTTTGTTGTTTTTTTGTTTCCAATTTCGATTAAAATAGTTACAAAGCACTGATACTTTTAGTACTTCAAACTTATATTTGTTACACTAAAATGGGTGTTTGTAGTCATAACAACTGAAAAGTAACAGAGGGAGGAATTTTTCCAAAATTTTTTCAACGTTTTTAGAAGTAACATATATCGTTTTTAATTAACTGCAAATGGTAGGTAAAGTACTTTCTTTTGAAGAAAAATTACAATTGATAATAGTACATTTTGATACGAGTGCGAGAAAGTGATTTGAGCCTGGAATGAACGTTTGAACCCGAGTGAAGGAAGACTTACGAGAATAAACGAGGGTGAAATCATCTTCTCGCGCATATATATCTAACCTTTATTTTTCAATACGACGTGTGTGGAACAAAATTTTAAAGATACTTGATGTCTCGAGTGTAGGTAAAGTCGAATCTCCACAAACAGATTGTCGAAAAAAGTCTTATCTGGATTTTCTTTCGCAATACATTTCTAACGTACGGAGAAACGTAATTTTGACTGAATAAATAAGTTAAATTAAAAATAAACTATTATAATAAAAGATTTCACACTAACTCGTTTCAATGCGTATAAGATCGAGAAAAATATTTTTTAATATCATATTTATTGCTGCCTTTACCCACAAGAAAATTTCAATTGGTTGTATTTCATGTTCGTCATTGAAAATCCATTGACACGATATTTATTTTCCTT